ACGTACGATCGTAAAGCCTATTGCGGATTAGATGACGTCTGATGTTGTCCGCTGGTAGGTTTATCAAGACAACATCATTCGCCAGATCCGCTCGTGCAATGCATTGTCGTCGGATTGCTGTGCTTACTTCGTCCGATATAAATGGAAGCCGAAGATCGTTATGTTCTCACGGTTTCTCAGCCAATACGATTTCGAGCCTGAGCTCCTGTGTTATGTCCCGTAGCCATTCAAGCTTGCAATCTCAGCTGCTAGTTTACGTGACTGCTCTCGTTTCACTACGTCTGTGCACACTCCTGTAGCTGTTCTGTACATGTTGCGAACAACGGCACGTTTCACAGCTTCAGGGTGAGCAGACTTTGCGTGGAGTAGAATGTTCTTAGAGCTGTTCTTTCAATACCACTTCACATTGTACCTACCACTTGAGATGTTTATGTGCGTGTTAAGATAAGGAAGCCATCCTTCGTGCGGACCTCTTTTGTCAATTTGATGTACTGAGACTGTCGGTTGAGGATATCAAACAACACATCCATCTCTTGCTGCGTTGATGTAACTACGCAGCAGTCATCGGTGTACCGACAGTACATAATGAGCATGCGAGCTATAATTGGCCTTTCTACTCTGCTCATAAAGCAGATAGCTAAGACCGGTGCTAGCCACTGACCCATAGCAAGTCCTCGGTTTTATGAGAACTACTGCCCGCTCCACTTGAAAATGTCACAATTAAGGCAATCATTGTTCAGAGTCATAAGGTGAACCTTGCTCAATCCGAACCTTACAATTTTTCTTTCATGCTCGTCCAGCATTTCAGTAACCGCTTGGAGAGCTTCGCTGTTGTTAACGTTGGTATGAAGCGCAATTATATCAAGCGACTCTACTACGCAGTTTTCTTAAAGCCTACACGAACGTAGGCGATCAAGAAATTCGTAGGTATTTGGTAGGTGTGAAGGCACGTATCGGAGTAGTTGACCAACAGTTTTATTGAGGAAAAAGGAAGACGGTCCGTTGGCCCTCCTACACAGCCGATGATGAGTCTTACTTTATGAGCGCTAGCATTAGCTAAGTTCTTGCCTCCGTTAGACAACTCATGAATCTTTATCAGACTATAGAAAGCCTGGCAGTTATCTATACTGCTGTTGAAACAGGAGAAATTGTCAGGATCTCGTTCCAGAGGGTATTCAAAAACGCTGCGCGTTCCAAGGTATTCCGAGTACCCATGCAATCCACAAGCCCGGTTGAAAGTCAAAAGCATGACGCATCTTACAATTAGACGAGTTGATGAATTTCATTGACTTCAATCCTTTTCCATTAAAATTACGGTAATGCGGTGGATCTTCTTTCGATAGGAGCATTTGTTTAAAGTGTTCTTCATAGCGAATGCTTCCAAATGATCTGTGGCCGCGTTCGATGTTTGACAACCTGACGGAACTGACTGGAAACGATCGAATAGAAATTCGCAACATGCACTGTTTGCGTAGAGCGCTAGCTGTATGGGGGAGCACTTGCGGAAGGAGCTTGACCAAGGGAGGAAAACCGGACTGAAGCGCGAAATGACGCGCACTGGTCAGCCAAACAAACACATCTCACGCAACAACGCAACACTACGTACCACCGAGACCATCTGAAAAAATATGAAGGGACTTATAGGCCCCATAAAAAAGGCCAAGCCCAAATTTTTCAGTTTCTTTACAATTGTACCACCTCGAATTAGAAGGTTCCCATCCATTGTGAAAGTTCCGTTGAGTTCCAAAAAATCGAGAACTCCAATCCAAAAAAAATCATCACTTCAATTTTTCTATGGAACAGCATGTAGTCCACAGGTGACAAACATGGTGGTGAGATAGATCCGATAAGTATGACTTTCACTCCCTCTTCCACTTCCCCGCTCAACGTCTATCCCTGGACACTGTGATCCTTCCGTTTTACAAACATGTTCACTTCCAAGGAGGAACACGTGGTCTTGTGGTTAGAAATGTTTCTGAAGGCTTTTCGTGGAACAGCCTCCTTTTGAACACATCCGAAAGCAATCGCTATGGAAAACCAGTCATCACCTTACCGGAACAGATGATTTGACCTGTCTGCAGACTCTGAATGAACGGGATCCCTGTGCTGGCCTTAATTCGGACTCTGACTTCCAGACAATGCAGATTAACCGGAGACACTTACCTCCTATGAACTTCACTGAATTTATTGAATGCCACTTTTTTTCTCGACATTAGATTCTTTATTGGGAACAATTAGCAATTGGGACTGTATTCTTCTGAGATCCCTACCCGGATACATAACCTTCCCGCTGATTGTGCGGTAGTTTTGAAACTATTGAATAAGTTGTATGATGGGGATTAAAATTTGTCGAGAGCCCAAATGTGCCTTCAAATTCATCGCTTCCAAGTCAGGAGTGGCTAGTTGCTATGGTCTATTGAGGAATGTTGTCATGGACCTCACCAGCGACACATGCTTGACAAAAGGCGCAGCACCCACTTGAGCGATGTAAAAATTTGCTCCTGACGACCAAATATAAGAGGCCACAGCAGGCTGTGACGGTCATTTGGCTGGCTCCCATTCCGAATGATGAAAATGTGAGTTTTTCCCAGTTAACTGGCCAACTGGTAATCTCAAATCAGTGATATTTTTTCAGGATTCTCGTTTTCACTTTGCTGGTTCTCATCTCCTACAGCTCAACTCAACGACTATATTGGCCATCCAGCAGCTATTCTCCATATTATCAAGCCTTATTCGCTGAAGCACAAAAACCGGCTCCTACATATATTCAAGTGATGCCCCACTATACGCCTAAAGCTCACAATGTGAGGGATGCTGCTCAAGCCTATTCTCCGAGGCTGGATTTTAGGATACCTCTAAGAAATGCGCCGATCATGTCTGCCATTGTGCCTTCTCTGAAACCCTTCCAAAATAGCGCTTTTCGTATCGGTACAATCAGGAATCGAGGGTAGTCGGAGGTGACGATTAAGTTGTATTTTCCCCTGCTTATCTAAAATTCTCCCATATACTCTGTAGAAAGTGTGTGCTCCATCCTTGGTCCTGTTCATTTTTTGAAAAAGAAAAAAGGAAACACTGCAAAATCACTTCCAAGGGACACTTCAGGGACATGGGGGAGTGGTCTGGGATTGATTCTTTGTAAGATATGGTAATACTTATGATGCATAAAAAAGGAAAGGGTCACGTAAAAATTCTCGTCCTCTGCTTTCGCTAGCTTGATTCAAGCATGTTCCGCCACAATTTCTCTTACTTTTGAGGTTTCGATTGTTCACTTTTCACCCGTGAAGTTACTGTATTTATTTACCCAACGTGATAAGTATTTGTTTTTTTTTCTGATTGTTTAATGTACGATATTTTTGATGCAACGAAGAGATTTCCATGAGTAGGTCAGTTGTTCTGCGAATTACAGGAAAAATGTTCCTGTTTCATCGATTTTATTTATGACGGTATTGTACAGTAATAAATTGTGGTCAAGAGCTCCTTGAAACTGTAATGATGAATTGTGACTGGCCCATGGGCTCCACTCCCCCATATACTTAAAGTATCCGCAATTTAGAGGCTTATTTTAAATAAAGGATGAAGGATAAAGTTTTTGGCGTTAATCAATCCGGTCTGAGGGATGCTCCCCCGCACTCGACTTCCATTCAGGATCATAGTGTCGTAGTGAGTGCGATGTGGCCAATACAATGACTTGCAGTGGCCAGCCGATGTACACTTCAGTGCTTTTATCCTCCCAGACGAGTCTGGTACCAATTCACCGACCCCAGAGAGATGGAAGGCTTAGTTGGCCTAGACGGGCATCGATACGGGATTCGAACCCCGGACCGTGCGTGTGATGTAGTGCTCCACTTGCTACTACACCACCTCCGCCTTCTTATTTTAACTATCACCAATAATGATAGTGGGCGGAGGTGGTGTGGTGGCAAATGGCGCAATATCACACAC